TAATTTTATTGATGTAATTCTATAAAATTTGGTCAAGAAATGCAGTGTTTTATTTTGTTGAATATTTCTATATGCGAGTTTTTCAGGTAATTCTTAACCTTATAGTTCTTCAGTAAGTTTTTCTCTAAAACACTATCATATATAGCGTCAGATATCCTGGTTTTATTTCTACAATGAAAATTCATTTGTTGAAATCTGGATAAGCAATCATTTGAATCTGTATTTTAGCTAAACACAAGACAATTATAATTCTATCACTTCTGCAGGACTATCCTGGGGTCAAACCTCTCCCATTTCCTTTTCTGATCTCCTGTCTTCACAGAGTTTCCTCCTGTTTATACCTGGGCTGCCAAGTCAAATACCAGCTACTTCCTCAGGAAAGGCTCTCCTCAGCCTTCAATTAACTGAATTTTAAACTAGGTATTTACATAAGTTTTGTTGTCTCCCTTGCTAGGTTCTGTTCCCCAAAGGCATGGACTTTATTGTCCTTACTGGACTGCTGGGACAATATAAAACACTGAAATTTATACAACTATTAAAGAAAAGTCTCAGTACACATATTGTGTCTGACAAACATTAAGGGTTCATTAAAGTGGTTGGAAGCTGGGCATGGTGGTTAGTGTACTCTAACCCTACCTTCCTTGGACTCTCGCTGCTTTGCCTGCTTTGCAGGTTAGGCCCTTACTGTCTCCTCCCTTGGGCATTCCAACTTTATCTCAGGACCTGCATCAACTGCCTGTTCATCTGCAGGTAGATGGGTCATCTTCCCCACCCACTGGCATTGGAAGCCTACCATTGTAAGAACCTCTTGAAGTGCCTAAGATGAAGAACCTCATGCTTGTTTCACAGGTAGAGCCCTCATGTACTCTGCCTTCCAGCACTCCGTCCCTACCACCTGAGGACCTGTACAAACACCTGCTCGCTCCACAAGTAGAGCCCTCATTTCCCTATCCCTCTGGTGTTCTAAGCCTGCTGAGGACTTGCAGGAAGCATCTGCTTGTGCCACAGAAAAGTGGCTCCGCTTACCTTCTTCCTGGCACCCTAATTCCATTATATCAGGACATGTACCACTCCCTCTACACATTGGCACTCAATGTGTCAGGACCCTTGTGAAGCCCCTAGCAACCCCTTGTCCCCCCACCAGAGCCTACATCTCTACTACTGTAGCTAACTTTATCCCCACTGTCTCATCACTCACCTGAAATGCCCACCAACTCCTAAGGCTATTGTCACGTGTATCTTCAACATACCAAAACCCTGCCACCTCAAGACCTGCTACAGAGGACCTGCCTGCTCCCCATGGCAGAGGCTGCAGCCTACCAACTCCACAACAAGCCCTTATCTGTGCCGACTCACAAAGCACAAACTGGTGAGGTCAGAGGCCATGCATTTCCCTACCTGAACTGGAATCACTTCAGCTACCTATTCATAAATTAGCACTGAGTGACTTTAAAATTGAGCTTTAAGCACCTCCTAGCTGATCCAAAACTAGCCAATTCAGGTTAACAGTAAATACAGATTCAAACGCCCACTCAAAACAGGGGGTCCAGAAACTCTTATCAAAAAACATAATCAATGATCCTAACTCCAGACAATGAGGTCCCATCACAGAAAGATGAACAATACAAAAAATCAGGACCATTTGTCCTATTTAGAAATCACCAAGTCCACAGAAATGTTCTCCAATGAGAACTTTGACAAAACTCAAGATACAAAATTGAAAAGAACAATTATAGACATGATTAGTGAGTTCAAGGAATTCAGAGGACATGACTAAACACCCAAAAGATCTTAAAAGAATACAGGAGTAAACTCCTGATAGAAGGTCAAATAAGACACAACAATTGAATGAAACAAGGAGGACAATTCATGACATGAAAATAGAATTCAACAAAGAGAAATATAGAGAAAAACCTAAACTGAAATGAAGCTAGGAACAAAAATTCAGTAAGTCTAATAAAAAGCTCAGTGGAAAGACTCACCAACAGAATGGACTGTGTGGAAGACAAAGTATCAGAGTTTGAAGAAAAGGTAGAACTGGATAAGAGTTCCTATCAAAGAAAAGGATAAACTAAAGAAACTACAGAAAATACTCAAACTCATGGAGATTAAGCAGCACACTACTGAATGATGAATGAGCCACTGGAGAAATCATGAACTAAGTACCTTGAAGTAAATGGAAATGAAAACACAACATACCAAAACCCTTGGGATTACAATGAAAACAGCCCTACGGAGGGAAGTTTATAGCTCAAGGTGCCTACATTAAAAATTATAGAGAACTCAAATAATGATGCAACTTAAAAGAGTTTGGAAAAACAAGAACAAATCAAACTCAAAAGCAGTAGATGGAGAAAAAAATAAAGGCAAAAACTAATGGAATGGAAATAACAAAATACAAAGAATTAATGAAATGAAGATTTGGTTGTTTGAAAAGAAACAGATTGACAAAACCTTTGGCCAAATTAACCAAAAGAAGGTGATAAGACCCAAATTTATTAGAGATAAACTAGGAATCATCAAAACAAGTATCAAAGAAATTCAAAAAAATCATAAGGGCATACTTAAAAAAAAAACCTGTATTCCAATAAGCTGGAAAGGCTAAAAGAAATGGATGAATTTGTAGATTCATCTGACCCACCAAAGTTAAATCAAGACATGATCAATAATTTAAATAGATCTATAACAAGCAAGAAGACTGAAGCAGTAACAAACAAAAAATTCCTAACTAAAAAAAACTAGGTCCAGATGGAATTACAGCAGAATTTTACCAGACCCTTAGGGAAGAATTACAACTAATGCTTCTCAAATTAGTCCCTAAAATAGAAATAGAAGGAATATTACAAAGCTCCTTTAATGAAGCCAGTATTACTCTAATTCCAAAACCAGATAAAGACAGGGAGTCCTACCTCTTTTTGCCAAATGATTGGCTACTGAAGGATTGGAGGGAGCAGAGTTTTTATCTTTAGATGTGAACCCACTGATGAGGCCACCAGGATCCACTGGATAGTTCCACACCTATGGTCACATAGACAGCCCTGATTAAAAACTAGTTAGTCACAAAACAAAAAGACATGAATATGGGAAAGGGACCTGTAGTGAGGAGGAGGAATTGACAGGAGTGTGAGGTAGATTATGGAGGGTGAGGAACAAGAATTATCAGAATACATTCCTGCCAAAGAACAAATTTAATTAATAAAAAAAAGGCCTGTGTTCAATATTGAGGAATCTGGAACTTAATTCTACACATAATGACTTGTGATGGCTACTCTAGATTGTCAACTGGATATGAAATTTACTGGATCTGGAATCAATGAAGAACCGCAATTCTGGGTGGATCTTCAAGGGCATTTACCGAAGGACTAAGAGGGAAGAAGATCTTCTCCAATGGTGGAAGGCCTAGATAGAAAGAGGGCAGTGGGAAAACAGTGCTACTTGCTTGCCTGCTCACTTCTTGCTGGTGACTGCAGCTATCTTATTGTTGCTGCCACTGCTACTGCTATGATCCTTCACTGACACCATAACACACAGTTCCTGTGGCCTTCCAATGTGAACTAAAGACCTACAGGAATCCTCTAGGCTTTCATCACTATATTGGGACTCCTGAGGCAGCTAGCTTTATGGACTAAATAGCTATTGGGCTCTCAGCCTCTCCAGTGTGCAACCAGTTTTAGACTACCCAACTCTTTGTGTTAAGTCAATCTATAAATCTTTTTATAATATTTATATTCTAGAGAACCCTGACTAAAGCATGGATCATGAAGCTTTTGCAGAGCAATGAAACAGTAGTCAGACTAATAAGGTAAACTTGGCATCAGTGTGGTAGATAGGCAGAGTAGTGAGCCTGTGTCAGGCTATCAGCTGAGGAAATGATGGCAAGCACTTCATCTAGGGTAGCTGCAGTACAGGCAGAAAGGAATGGGAAAGGACTCTTAAGACACCTGACTGCATATGAGCAACAGAATGGATACAGTAAGAGAAGAGAAAGCTGAAGACCACTTTAATTAAGACTTCCAGGTTGAGCAAATGGATGTAATTTGGCAATGTCATTAACCAAACAGGAAATACAGCAGGAAAGGAGGAAACAAATTCTGCTTCCAGGTATGATACAACTGAAATTGCTTGTAGGCCATGTAAATGAAGCCACAATAACAGGAACTTGGAATAAGATCTAGAATTCAGAAGAAGACTGAGGCTGAAGTTTTAATTTCAGACTCGAGCATATTTGCTAACAGTGAGGCATGAAAGGGACGAAACTGACCAAAATTTATACAGAATCAAGCATGTCTAGCACAGAACTAAAGATAAAACAGGCTTTTTAAAACTAAAGATAAAACTTAACCATGTAACTTAATTTTCATAAGACATAGACCACTAAAATATTATTAATGTGAAGAACAGAAAATAATATATAAAAATTATCTGCAATCTGTAGGATGTTATGATCAATACATCTCTGAAATTGAGAACATATGCGTCTACTAGGTTGGAAAGACTATATAAAAAGTACATTAATCAAGTTTGTTCCTCCTTTATGATACCAATATTCCCCTAAATGATATTAACAACCAGACATTTGGTATTGATTCCTATAATGTAAAGGCAATATAAATAGGCCATTAAGTCAAGTTACAAAAATATAGCATGCATTTAACAAATCTGCCTCCTGGCATCTAGAGATTGTTACATTAAATTAGTATGTGCATGTGTGCTTGTATATCAACCAGTGGTATAATTTCTCAATATAAGTTCCTAATGAGGTCTGAGATTTTTGAAAAATTAAGAAAGTATTTCTAGTCCTTGTTACCTCCAGAGACTGAATGTGGTGATTGAGCTTCTGAAACTTTCAACATTAAGAGACACTGAGGTAAAGTCACAAGGGGCTTAGCAGGAATACCGGGAGAAAAACTATCTTGTGTTATACATATTCTTTAACAAAGATTTTTAAAACATATTGAGACATGTTTGTGGATTACAGAAAAAAAGTTTTAAGTATCAGATCCAAGTAGAAAATACATTTTATTCAAATCATGTTCATTTTCAGTATATTTTGAATTAACACAGATATATCAAAGCTATATTCTTAATTTCATCACATTCTATTCTAAATTCTTTACCATTTATCAAAATAACTTTATAAAGCTTACTATTTTGTCTAATATGATACAGACTGTCACTCTCTATGTTTATGTGTTTCTCTCAAAAATTAGAATAGCTCATGAGCATATCATATAAAACTAATTGGTATATTCCACACCAAACATAAGTACAGATTCTGTACAGTGTATGTAATAGCATACATATATATTACAAGATACTAAATGCCTTGTTAATAGTAACTTTTTAAGAAATCTTTCATGGAAAAAACTCTGCATTACAAAATGAGGTGGCTTGAGTACCAGCTACTTTCCTTCACGAATTTCTTTCAGTGGGCATCAACTGTCCATTTAACTTCATTAGCAGTTTTACAACAAGACCAGCCTAAAAGGTAAAACGTATGTTAACGTAAATATTAAACATGCAGAAAAGTTCGAAAGACATACATAGTACCTGGCAGTTTCATAACTATTTGAAAGAGAACTTTATTAGGAGATAGCCTGTCATGAAATTTGGCACAAAGGAGGAATGTACTCTGGATTTTGAAGAAATTAAGAAGTGTCCTGTTGAATATAACTAGTGGTTCAAATAGGATGTGGTCAAGAAAAGGGAAGAACTGTCAGAAAAATCTAGGAATAACTAATCAGAATTAAATGAAATGGCATAAGGAGCTTAACTGTTTCAAAACAGAAATATATTAGTCTATCAGATTCTAACTTCCTATACTTGGAAAAGGCATTCCACTTTTCCCCTTGGTCTTAAATATTTAAACTTCATTGAAGAACAGAGGTTTATGTGGAAGTTAAATGGATTGTCATTTGAAAGAAGAACTTTACTAAAACTGTAGTATTAGTCCAAAAGAATTATAAACACTTTACCTGTTTTGTGTGTACTATAAAGCTCATTTTATTTTCCATACTATGGATCTGAAAACAAGTACCAGCATCTCCTAATTGCCATGTAAAACAGCAATACTTAAGACTGATGAGTAAAGCCTGCAACATAATTAGAAATTATATTAAAACAGACTGTAGAAGCAACACAGTGAGGCATGATGCTATATGCCTGTGATCCTAGCACTTGGAAGGTAGAGGCAGAATAATTAGATGCTCAAGGTCATCCTTGGCTACACAGTGAGTTGGAAGCCAGCCTAAGCTACATGAGACCCTGTCTCTAAAACTCCCAAACAAGAAACACAACATTTATGTACTCTTACTGTATACATTTATCCAGTCATTAAATATAAGTTTTGAATATTATTTTTAAATATTTTATTTATTACTTTTATTTTATGTGTATGAGTCTATTGCCTGGATGTATGTGAGTGTACCCATGTCATGCAATGCCTCAGAGGTCAGAAGAGGGCATCGGATTCCCCTGGAACTAGAGTTAAGGATGGTTCATAGTCACCATGTGGGTGCTGGCAATCAAACCCTGGTCCTCTGCAAGAGCAGTCAGTGCTCTTAACCACTGAGCCATCTCTCGCCCCTTGAATATTATTTTTAATGTCTATTCAATATCACCCACACTAACCTCACATAGCCAGCAGACTGAACCTAGAAGGCAGATTCCTATAGGACTACCATGAGCAATGACTGTCTTTGTATCTGATCAACAAATATTTTTAGAGATGCTCTTTCTTAGTGACCTTAGGGATCACAGGACAAGTTTTATTTTCTTTAGGTTAAAAATAATTGTATTAAAGCCAGATGTGGTTGCACATGCCTTTAATCCCAGCACTGGGAGGCAGAGGCAGGTAGATCTCTGTGAGTTCAAGGCCAGCCTGGTCTACGTAGTGAGTTCCAGGACAGCTGGGGCTACAGGGAGATCCTGTCTCAAAAAAAGACAAAATAATAATAATAATAATAATAATTATATTAATGCATTTAGTATCTTTCTTTCAAATATATACAAAATGCTTTCAAATCTGAAATTTATGCAATGGGGTTAACAGGAAGATTTCAGCAATTTCATTACACTGAACATAAATACACTCAAACATTAATATTTATTGTAGAAAAAAGAAAAACAAAGCTTAGTAATATATCTTTCATAAGTTCAACAGAACTATTTAAAAACCCAACTAGAGTAAGCTACTCATACATTCTCCTAACAATGTTACATTTAAGTAGGCATTCAAGTTATTATTTGTTTTGTTTTTGTCTCCCTGTAGCCCTAGTTGGCCTGGAACTTGCAATGTAGACCAAGTTGGCCTTGATCTGACAGAGATTCGCCTGCCTCTGCCTCTGCCTCCCAAGTGCTAGGATTAAATGTGTGCACCACCATGGCCAGCTACATTTTAATTATTTTTAAATGTTTATTTTTTTGACACATAGTATTTGTATATCTATGAGGTGTGAAATGATGTTCTCATTCATATATACATTGATTAGTGATCAACTCAGGATAATCAGCATGCCGACCAATCTTAAACTTTTTTTTTTTTTTTTTTTTTTTTTTTGAGACAGGGTCTCCCTGTAGCCCAGGCTGTCCTGGAACTCACTATGTAGACCAGGCTAGCCTCGAACTCACAAAGATCCGCCTGCCTCTGCTTCCCAAGTGCTGGGATTAAAGGTGTGTTCCACCACACCCAACTAAACTTTTATTATTCTTTATGATAAGTGGATTGAAATTCCTTTCTTCTATTTTTAAAAATTTATTTGTATTTTATGTGTATGGACTGCTTTACATATATCTATGTAAGTGCACCCATGTTGTGCAATGCCCATATAGGTTCCAGTACATCAAATCTCCTGGAACTGGAATTACAGACAGTTGTTGGCCACCATGTGGGTGCTGGGAACCAAATCCCATTCTTCTGCAAGAGCAGCCAGTGCTCTTAACTGCTGAGCCATCTCTCCATCCCCGCTTTCTTTTAAGATATTCTTTTTTTTGGTCTTTTTGAGACAGGGTCTCCCTGTAGCCCCAGCCAGCCTGGAACTCACTTTGTAGACCAGGCTGGCCTCAGACTCACAAAGATCTGCCTGCCTCTGCCTCCTGAATGCTGGGATTAAAGGCATGCACCACCACACCTGGCTATTTAAAGATATTCTTATTTGTAATTATTCTTTCGTAGTAATTACAAAATAATGTGCATTTTATTGCATTAAATACATAATACATATATACACATATATATGAAGAAGGTGTATACAGATACAAAGAACATGTTCATGCTATTCTTCAAAACAGCTATGTTTAAGAACATTAGCTATCTATGAATGGCAATTTTTAGAATGTTAACTGTAAATAATAAGTTAAAGACATGCCAAAGGATAATGGTTTAGGGTATTTTTAAGGTGAGGTTCTGTAAATGAAACAGAATATAGTTCATTTACATGAATGTATGTTACATACAAAAACTAATAAAATCTGTTTAAAATGAGCTATTTACATTCATGTTATAAAACCTAACTTTATAGGATATGCTATCTACTTAGGTACAGACTGAAACCAGTCAAAACACAGTAATACCTTAAAATGACTAGACTTTTAGTCACTTGAAATTCAAAATAAGCCAGAAAGCAGTCCTGTAATATAGCTTCAAAAACAGAAAACATGCCAGGTGTGGTGGCACATACCTTTAGTCCCAGTGCTATGGAGGCAGAGGCAGGCAGATCTCTGTGAGTTCGAGGCCAGTCTGATCTACATAGTGAGTTCCAGGACAGCTGGGGCTACAAGGAGACCCTGTCTCAAAAACAAACAAACAAACAAACACCCAGAAAGAGAAAACACAAAAGTGGTCTACTATAGTAGTTCTCAATTCTATGGAGATCAGATTTCCAATAAAAGTATTACTGACCCCATTAAAAATAAAAATCTGACCAGGCGTGGTGGCGCACACCTGTAGTCCCAGCACTTGGGAGGCAGAGGCAGGCGGATCTCTGAGTTCAAGGCCAGCCTGGTCTACACAGTAAGTTCCAGGACAGCTCGGGCTACAGGGAGACCCTGTCTCAAAAAAGATCAAAAATAAATAAATAAATAAAAATCTGCTGTTAAAGGAAAATGTGGTAGAGAAGGAATTCTTAAGAAACTCCAAATAATATGAAGAGTCAGTGTCCACATAGTCATTTTATATGATCAATCTGCCCCGGAGGAAAAAGCAGCCCTCCCTAGGAGGTAAAACCTACAATTGGCAAGACGCTCAGTGAGGGCACTCATAAACAATCATAATAACAGTTGAGAAGAAGGTTAGCTGGGAACAGCAAAAAGAAGACCACACCTTACTTTCCCTCCATGTAAGGAACAACAAAAGCCAGCAGCCTATAATCTAGAAGGCTGCCCTCCCCGAAACTTGACAATGCTGGTGCCCTAAACTTCTAATGTTTAAAAGTCACCAAGTCTATGGTACATTTTTTTTTAAAAGGGTCTCACGATGTAGTCCTGGAATTATGTAGACCAGACTGGCCTGGAACTCCCATAGATCTGCCCGCCTCGTTCAGAGGGATAAGGTTTAAAGGCACATGCCAACGCGCCTGGCTGTCTTTGTTACAGCAGCCTGAACTGAAACAGGTACATAGGTAAAAACCCTCCCTTTTAAGTTCCCAAGAACATGATTCACTTCTTTTAAGGCTTCAGTGGATTTAAAAAAAAAATATTTTTGAGACAGGGTCTCCCTGTAGCCCCAGCTGGCTTGGAACTCACTATGTAGACCAGGCTGGCCTCGAACTCACAGATCTGCCTGCCTCTGCCTCCCAAGTGCTGGGATTAAAGGCATACACCACCTTGCCTGGCGGATTTTTTTTATACATTTGTATGCAATCTGTATTTATGTAAAGACAGTCTTCAATTCCTCCCATTTCTACACTAATATTAGTATATTGCATAAAATTCAGTACCCTTCTCACTAAATATAACTTGTAAATAAGTCATTCTACAAAATACTATTTATTCTATTGTATGGATGAAAGGTATTCTGAAATGCAAAAATTTATAATTAATGTGTCCTTTACTGAAAGCTACTTAATATTGTACCTTATCTTTTGAAAGAAATGAAAATGACATGAATAGTCCTTGTATATATGTCATTTCTAGATTATTCATGGAGGATGGCACTGCTATTTTAGATATTATATAATAGACTATTCAAAAATAGCTGAAAAGCTACCTTAGTTTCCAGGTTGAGAAGATGAAGTCCCTTTATATTCACTCCTACGTACACAGGGATGACTTTATGATTGCTGGGGCTTGCCTTTGTAAATATCTGTCCTGTGAAAAAAGCTGCTCCATATGTCGGAATTTCCCAACAGTTCTGTAAGAACATGCGCTGCAGGTGATGCATTTCCTTACTGACACCCTCACTTGTACTAAGATTCTGAAAACAAAGTAGAATAAAAATAAAAGATGTGAAGGGAGAATTATACCTTTCATAATTCAAAGAGGTCAACTAAGCAATTTCTAAAATCAAGACTGTCTTCAAACAAGAATGAAACTATGGTATATTATCCCAAGAGTCCTTTTTCTCTTGTGGTCTTAATATTCTAAATAGAATTTAAGTGAAATTCAAAAGTGTCTATTCTAATGGAATTTAAGTGCTTTACAGGCAAGGACAGTATATTATGTGTTTTATCTCTAGCTCTTACCACAGTATTCAGCATATAGAAAGTATTCAATAAAAGACTCCATGTTAATAACAATAAATATATCTTACTATTTTCAGCTTCAGGCACTATAAAATAGAAGACTCATTTTTAACTCCAAGATTAAGAATTTAGGGGGCTAGAGAGGTGGCTCAGTGGTTAAGAGAAATGGCCATTCGTGCCGAGGATCTGGGTTTGATTCCCAGCACCCACATGGTGGCTAACAACTGTCCATAACTCCAGTTCCAAGGGATCTGGCACCCTCTTCTGACCTCTGCAGGTACTGAACAACACGGGAAGCACTTACATGCAGGTAATACACTCATACACATAAAATAAAAATAAAAACAATTTTAAAAAGAATTTAATGCATGTTTAAAACACTAATAACACTAATAAAACACCAAATAGTCTAGTCTTTTTATTTCTATTAAGCAGCTTACCTTGTATTCATGAAGTATTCGATTCGTCCAGTGAGGTGCCTTACTTTTCAGTTTAGTAATAGGTACAATGGATTTTAGATTTTCTTCACTGTAAGCACACATACCAACACCTTTTAAATAAGTCATCTTTAGTAGCTAAGGTGTAATAATTCTGTCACAAATGGCTTTAAGTAATAGAAATTTTAAGCTGAAAAATACTGTTTTAAAACATTTTACGAGTTCAGGGAAAGCACTACAATCTTAACATTAGCACCTTAGAGAAATGTTTTCTTTTTCAATAATCAGAAAATCACAATAAACAAAGTCCAAATGTGCTAAAATCTTTGTATTTTCTCTCAAGGATTAAACATGAAACTAGTTTCTATGGCGGAATTTTTTTTTTTTTTCGGTCTTTTTGAGACAGGGTCTCCCTGTAGCCCCAGATGTCCTGGAACGCACTATGTAGACCAGGCTGGCCTTGAATTCACAGAGATCCGCCTGCCTCTCTCTCCCTAGTGTTGGGATTCAAGGTGTGCGCCACCATGCCCGGCTATGGTGGAATTTTTAAATACATCTGCTTTATATAATTTTTTAAATTAAGTAATATTTTAGCAACCTTATTTAAACACACAGTAAAGAAACACAAATTCAAGAAAAACTATAAAGGTAAAGTATATTAAAGTATAGCAAGGGAAAAGTAAAACTTTCAGGAATATTTACTAGCAACAAAAAAGAACGCTTTAATAGTAATTTTTTTCTTTTATTTGCTTTTTATTATTTAATTTCAAACTAATGTATAAATATTTTATTTTGAAACACAGCCTTACTATATAGCCCAGGCTGGTCTGGAACTCATGACTCTGGCCTCAGCCTCATTGGGATTACAAATAGGTGCCACCATGTCTGGCTACCAATATAGAAACATTGTCCAATAATATTTTAAAATTTCATTGGTTAAAAAGAAATCTTGTTCATAAGACCATGCATTTTATTAAATACTTACTTTAAGAAACCTTGTTTATGTTTCTTACTCTCATAATTCCCATAAACTATTTGCAACAGTAGA